TGAGACCCGTAAAACCAATTTTCAATAATTGGATTAGATCTACAACTTGAACATTCATAATCACAAAATTACCACAAGATTTTTCAATAATCACAAAATTGTCACCGTACAACTTTAGACCATTAGCTTATAAAGTTGAWCAATGAACATAAATTGGTCTTACGGGTCTAACGAAAAACCTTTGGTCTCATGTGAATCCAACCCTATATATATATAAACATATATCTATACGATACAATTATTTCATGCAAGATTTGAGGTCGCCAATAATAAATAATTAATTCATATCTGTAAAGCATACATTCACGATATACAAATCCTTTGGACAAGATTCAAAAGTTGCTGCTAAAATCTACATATATCGATCTTTTACTCTACATACAGTTATGTCTATGTATAAAGCAAAATAGATACTGATAACGTTGTATTTATTTTTTAAGTTATATATTCCAACAAATATATTTATATATTTAATACTTAAAATCTCGTAATCATGGTAGTTACATCATTTTCTTCTAAATTTAATTGATACTAAAAACAATTTATCAAAACTTCTTGTTCCCCTCATATATTATTAGTCATGACAGTTTATTGGGTAAGGGGCCATTTACTTAAATGCTTACTTGATAAGTGCTTATCAATAAGAGTCAACATTATAATTTATTATGATGCGTAAGATTTTAGTATATCAAAACATATTGAATGCAACAATTTACTGGATAAAAACTTAACTGGGTAAGAGTCGTCATCCTCACTTAACGGGTAAGACTCTTCATCATTCTCATTGCTCTTACCTGGTAAGATTCTTGACCTTTTCATTTTCATCCGATGAGGATATTTATGCGTTAGCACTTACCAAATAAGTGTTTAGTAAACGACCCCTAAGTGTTTATCGGCAAAAATCATTACCCTTATTTACCTTATCAGGTAACACTCTTGGGTATGAAAATGAGTGGTTGGTAAACGTATTTTTCTCGRCAAATGCTAACCAGATAAAAGTCAAATAAGATTTTCGGTACTTGTTATACCTATTGTTAGGTAAGATTTTCAGTAYATTCACCCGAAAAGGCGACAACACCCGGTAAATACATACTCGATAAATAAAATAATTATAAGATTCAAGAATATGATTTATAAATAATTATTGTTTGAATATATAATTAACAAAATCACAGGGGTAATTAGGTAATTAGACATGTCTCTACTGTAAASTATAGTTCCAATGTTTTTACACATCAGAGGGAGAAAAGACAACATAACGCCATATCTGTTTTCGTTTCTATTTTCTAGAAAATCTTCGTCGCCCTTTTCTTGGTGTCCATTCTCGATCTGATTGCAAATCCACCAGATTAACCCTTCCGATCCCTCCACATAATTTCAGTTTTTGTGTTTACCGCTTCTTCTTCTTCTTCTTCTTCTTCGATCTAGAGGAAGATCGGGTTATCGTTCCCCTAATCAATTGGGGTTTTCTATTTGAATTATGTTCTTCTTGATCTGGGAGTTTCTTTGACAGTGGGTTTGTTTGATTGATTTGGGAAATCTGTAATACCCAGAGCGGAAATGGATCAATTCGATGCGTTTTTTCGAAGAGCAGATTTGGATCATGATGGAAGAATCAGTGGAGTTGAAGCTGTTGCTTTCTTTCAGGGTTCTAATTTACCCAAACCAGTGCTCGCTCAGGTTCTTAAAATTTGACCTCTCTATACTATAGATTGGATTTGTATATATGTTTAAATTCCACTGTTTGTAGACACTGACTCATCCATTTACTGTTCATACTCCATCTTACAGGATCAGTTTGACAGATTGTTAAATATTAAGGAGAATTCGTATCATTTTTYGAGTTATATCATTATGAGTCATATTGGTCTTCRCTCTTCACTGAAATTTTGATTACTTAGCATCTCCTACGAAGGGTATGTGAATGAATTGAGCTGCCTCTAAAGCAAGCCCACTAACATGAYCAATTGGAAACGAGAAGTCATAGCTGTAATACCTGTAAATTAGAGGTCAGGTATCATAGGAGAGGGTCGAAGGGATAAKAATTTAGGGATTAATAGGTTACTGGTAGGCCGAAATCGCACCTGAATTATTTTCCTTTACTATTGAACAAAGTTGATGCTCATTGTAACATTTCTGTYTAAAAATAAGTGTGAATTGTGAGGTTCGTGTGTCCTAGTTGCTGCAAGYAAATTTGGAAAAAGCCCTTATTTCTCAAAGGTAGCAAATGCTTATTGGATAGRATTGCTTCTTACCCTTATTTTTATGTAAAGTATCTAGTTTTTTAGAATGGTGCCGGAAAATTCTTATTGCAAGAAATCAGCCATGATAAACTCAGTGGCCACAATTGTTGTGTATGCTTGGAATCGAACTCTGAGCAAATGGGATATTCCACGACATCCCCATTCGCCTCAACCACTACGCCACAACCCTTATGGTTTAAAGTATCTAGTTTCCYTGCACCTAGGATGATGTATGGGTAAGGGGAACTGGAACAAATGCTTATTGGRTATATAATTGCTTCTTAGTTCKTACTCTTATTTTTATGTAAAGGATCTAGTTCTCTATGCCTAGGATGTAGTTTGGGTTAGGGGATGCGTGGATTCTGGAGCAAAAAGCACATGAATAATTAAGTTGATGGATTTTTCGTGTCTTTTGTCTAAGCTGCAAAACATGGTGGAGATAAAAAATTATCTGCTTTACAAAGGGAAGAATGAAAGCCATTTGTGCTATCTCCTGCATCATGTAACATATCTAMGGTTGGGCTATCAAACACGGATCCTAAGTGAATTGCCTCTTTTACTCCTTAAGTTTTGTACTACCAATAACTGTCCACCGTKGTGGCATGGTTTTAGTTGACGTTGATGTTATTTGGGTCAAATTATAACTTAGGTTGTGCAGCCTTACATACAATATTCGAGCTGTGGCCTCAAAATGTAATGAGTTGGACTTTTGCTACTCCCAGGGATGAGGATTTTGGGTTTAGGTTCAAAGTTGACAAGGATGTTAGAAATTTGAATGGGAGGATTTCTAGCCCCATTCCAGATTTTTGTGATTGTTAGAATCCCTTAATAGGGGGCTACTAATAACTTCTCATGGAGAGTTTAGCTTATCTGAATGTTATTTGGGCCAACTTGTTCCTTTAGCCCTGAGGATTACACTCATTTGGCTACGTGTACAACATCTACTGTTTGACTTACTGAATTTCTGTTTGAAGCTTGAAGTGTGATCATTTTTTTTCTGGTCTTCTGATGTTATGATTATCATTTGTTAATAGCAATTTCAGAAAAGAGAGTTTAATCCTTAACACAGGGGTCAAGATATCCAATTATCTATGTTGTAAATTATGATGAAATGATGAATGCGTGTGTGTCATATGGAAACTGCAACTCTTCACTTTACACAATTAAACAGATTTTAACAAATGTTTGTCTATTAGATAGATGTCTAAAATATTCTTAGTAATGATAACGTAGGCGAGTCYTTTGAACCATGACCATGTCAATCGGTTGTAACAATGACAGTCAACAACTAGGTACCTTTATCTTGAAATTTTTCTTAAACATAAACGAAATGTTGTGATATTTATGAATTAGCTCAAAATGGAAATTGATACAACTTTCATGGGATGGAGCGAGTATATGCTCTTCGATTGAGAAGTTATAAACTACATAGTGTCAGAATCAAAAGTTTGTGGTTGTGGAAAGTGGTGATTTGACAGTAGATGAAGTCAAAATTCGACATGCTTTGACAAAGAAAGGAGATCGGTTGAAGTGTTGGACCTTGACGTTTAGTTTTCAGATGTTAGATTAAAAGGTTCTGCAAACTGTTCTCCTATTGTGTATTGTTATCACTTTAGACAAGAATGTAGTGTTATAACAAACTCAAAAACTTGAAAACAAAAAATAAGCACAAAATTCATTATTCACGACTTTATAAACCTGTGAGACTTAAAACCCTATAACTACAGAGAATAAAAGGTGTGGCATGTATCACCAGTGCTAAGAGCATTGAATCCAGAGAATTATTGAGCAACGAAATAGACTTCCCAGGCAGAAAAGTGCATTTAAAATCGAAGAAGAAGTAATTGCTCTGATCTATGGTTCATGCTTCATACACATAAGAAAAGATCAGTTATCAAATAGATAAATGCATGTCTTTCGCCTATTTAACAGTGTACTATCTTCACCAAAATAATTCTTGCAAACTATCTCCAATCAGAGCGTCCAACAATATACATAAGAATTCAGCATGAGTCATACACAATCTTACACCATAATGATTTTTAGCCAAATTTCAAATTTATTATTTGTCAAATTGGTTGATCATCATTGTTGTCTCAAAAATTAAAGAATATCCTATAAGACCATCTCCCGACCCTAGCACCAAAAAACACCAAATTGGTGGGGCCATTAACACCAAAAATCGCTTCAACTCCAACCACACAGCATATATGCCTTCTAAACAGGAACACAACATATATGCTGTTTCTCTCCCATCTCCGGCAAACCACCCTTCTTTTTGCAGTATCGTTGGAGCTTCCTGTCTGGTAAATTTGCAGATTTTGCAGTGTGGTTGGAGATGCTCTCATGCTTGTCTTTTTCGTAATCATCATTAACAAAAGAACATGTAACCCCATTGAATTTGCATTACACAAAACTCAATTATGGAAGCAGAAACCAACTAATCCCCAGAAGATTGCCATTTTTGTTAGGAGTTCAGAACAATATCAATTATATACATCCATATAGAACTAATTTCCAAGTAGACTGTAGTATCTTAAATACCAGTAGGTCTGATTAGCCAGTGATAAATATCAACAGCAAGTTGTTGGACTTTCTGTCTAGTGTCACGTCCAC